TCACTTGAAAGGATAATTGTGTGGGATGCTTACATTCAAGCTTCCTCATTTAGAAACGTGTGATTTAAGGATATGTTCAGTAATTTGTGGTGTTCAGTGTACGTAGTTCTGTTTTATTTTAAACATTTTACCTGTATCTGATTGTAAAGTGTTTGCTGAAAGAGAATGCATGCGTTAGTTTTCGAACAGTTAGCGACAATGGTTGTAATCTTGTAATCTGTAAGTAACATCATGGTTTGAATGGTATGGTTTGGATGTGGATGGAATTGAAGAAACACATTTATTTTATCAATAATTTGGGTATATTTTATACTAAAATTTTAAAAAGAACAGTACAATATAGTGAGTAATTCACAAAGATTGAAGTCATAGGGGATTCATAAGCATGCAATGTGCTAAAGATGAAATTTGATGTTCTGTTTTATAATTTTGTTGGTAATGATGCAACAAATTTGATTAACATATCTGAGGACTGTGTCAGTTTTAAATAATACTTATCACCATAATTTTAGAGGTATACATTAATCCCAGATTTAACATAGGTCTGGTCAACGTCATTCTGACTATGCACGATTTCTATTTCGGCACACATTTTAATTATCCATGGTCTGATGTGCACATATGCAGATTTAATGAGTCGTTCTGTGTGCACCTGGCACTGTAGTATATCCACAACTCACAGCTCAACAGTGATGTCAACATCTTTCACTGTTAGAATATCTGTGTCCGATAATGTAACAATCCATACACAAATCTGGACTAACTTTAACTTTCTGCATTTTTACTGTATTTGTTTGTCTCCAGAATATAGCCTCAGAGGGTAAATGTAGTGATGTTATGGCAAACAAACAAACAAACAAACAAACAAACAAACAAACTCTGTGATCTGTAGTCTGCGAGCAAACTATACTGACCGAGTGACCGCCACCTGTTGGCGAAGTTAGTGCCAACTTCTGCGGATATAGGGTGTCACGTGGTCGGCACAAGGGATCTCCATGGCCGTGAATCTTGGCAGCAAGAGAAAATTAATTAATCTTGAACAGAATATTTACATGCTTGATAGATTAGTAAAAGCATAGGATTTATTATTATTATTATTATTATTATTATTATTATTATTATTATTTGATGAATCTTCTTTCAGAACTGTCAGAAATGTTGAATGAAGTTAAGCAGACATTAGG